GCCTTCGGCCCGCGAAGCCCGTAGTCCTTAAAATATGCCCCGTAGACACGAGAAAGGGATGTAACGGTGAAACACCGCGACTACAACCCACCCTTCTGCTTAGAAAACGCTTTTTGAGGGTGGGGAGAGAGTTTTCTTTCTATTTTGAGGTTTTGAGGCCTTTTTCTACAACTTATTGTTCACTATGGCAATTTTTAGCTTATTTTCGTCAAAAAAAGACCCTCTAGCGCCTAAATGGTTAGAGATAGAGCAAAACGTACGAAATTTTCGAGCAGAGGCATCTACTTGGACGCATTACCCCTTAGGAGCACATTAAAAATAAAATAATTTTTGGAAGTATTTGTGAACCTTGGATACCCCCATTCACACCCTTAGGGGTGGTTGCCAGGATTTGCCGTAGGCCTAGGCGTTTCGTTCTCCAGAAGTGGACCTTAAGATACCCTGAAAATTTCAAGTCTCTAGCACATCTGCTTCTAGTGGAACAGACAGACACACAGACAGACAGACACACAGACACGAGGTCGTTTGCAGAAGCCCACTGGATAGCTTTTTCAAAGCAGAAGGGCGGGCTAAAAAGCGTTTTCTAAGCAGAAGGGTGGGTTGTTGTCGAGTTGCTTCACCGTTACATCGCTTTCTCGCGTCTACGGGGCAAACTCAAAGACGACGCACAGTGGGAGATGTGACCTCAAAATTGCGACAAAAGTCAAAAATCTAAACTTTAGAATCAACCGATTTTTCTGTTTGATATCGGTCGATGACGATTAAGTCACCATTTCCCTTTACTTTCACTTCACTTCGATCGCTTGTGTTTCGGTTAGGATGTGTTAAAACCGACCCTTGCGCTTGCCTCCGCTCACTCGCCCCGTCAGTCGCTTTGGTAAAATGATGCGAAATTGAGAAAAGCAAGGTCTATAAGAACTTGAAGTGACATTACTTGGTAATTAAGTGTTGGGCAACATTTTAAGTCTTATTAATCATGTCAAAGACTTCCGAATAGGAATAAATCATAATTCAAAAGTTAGGATTTGGAGGTTAGGTGTAATCTTATTTTCATATTAAGTTATAATTTGAGTTCCGCCGAGTTCCACTCTAACTCTTGAACCAAATGGTAGCTACGACACTAATTAACGTATTCCGCTTTAGAACAGGTGCCACAAGCTGCCACCTTGGCGATGCTGAGCATTCGTAAATGGCCTTTTTGGGTGGAAGTGCACGGATGGCTCTGCCAAAAATGTGCCACAACATGTAATATGGTTGTGTTTGAACACGTTAACATACTTTTATCTATTGCTGTATGGCGTTCATAGAAACAGAACCGAAAACTTGGCAATTAAAGAAACTTTTTGGGGGTGGGTTAGGTAGGGTGGACCAATTTTGCACTTTTCCGCTCTTTTCACTAAATTGGCAGGTTTTTGATGACATTACCCTAGAAAACTCCGTAATTCCAAATTATATGCCAATCGTGGAAAGATTTGACTTTTGTCGCGATTTTGAACCTAAATCTCCGGCCGAAGGCCCGCTACATCATTCGATCATGTTCTTCAGCAAATCGCGTGACAGAAATGGTCGGGCCTGCGGCCTGACCATCGCCGCCGGCAGGCCGAGCAGGCCCGGCCCCTACTGTACGGAGTTGCCGGCGGAGCGAAGCGGAGCTGGCAACTTCGTTTGGCGGAAGGGCGGGCCTGCTTGTTTCCATGCCATACCGGCGTAATACCACGCAATCGCAATACAATGTAATACGGAGTACTCTGTCCACGTTTTATTGGGGTAAAACCTACGTCGGCTGGCTGCGAGGGATGGATAACTACCCTGCCAAGTGTACACCCCTAATTCTGCCCAATTCTAACTAATTCAGATGAATTCAATGTAGTTCAACAGAATTCGGAAACAATTCAGCCAATTCAAATTGAATGCAAGCCAATTTAGATTACATTGTTGAAATTTGTAGACCTACCCCTCGGGTAGGCGAGATATGGACTCGAACATCTGCCGCGGCAGCGGATTGGGCGCTCACCGTTGCCTTTTATAAGCCCTAGTCTGATAAGCCGTCATCACACCGAACAAATGACATTAAGTGTGACAAATAGACCATTCCGGTAAACCGTAAAGAAAGAAGAAGAGACGGAAGAAGCAAAGCGTTCTATGAGAAATGTACGGTGCGCCTTTGGAACGCTTGAACGTAATCCATCGTAAACTAGATATTCTGCGTCGCTTGAGAGTGAGAACTATTGCCATTAACTCTCAGACGAATTTAGGCATCAGACAAGTCACGTTTAACAGTTTTATACGACCGTGGAATCGACGCACCACCGTTTATGTCTCATACTCGATTTTGCTTCTTTCGTCTGTTCTTTTTCTCGCTTTACCGGAATGGTCTATTCCCAATCCTGCGAAAACGAAGAGTATACACAGAGGAAACGCCAAACTCTCCAAGTAAAGTAAAAATGCCATTGCCATGTTTGCAGATGATGCTCTAAAAGTTCAGATACAACTAACTGTACAATGATTTCGTTTTTCATCTCAACTTTTGACGTTGGATCAATACTGACATTAATTTTAATCTGTTGGCTCCAAAATTTTGGTCCTGTAGAACTCGACGTTACTTTGGCAACAGACCGGCTTTCCCCAGTCCAAATGGAGAACTACTTCTAGTCCGAAGGTAAAATCGCCCTTTTAGCGTCCTGCATTAAGAGTGAAAATAAAAAGTTAGTCAACTGTTTAGAAGAAAGCCCTTTGGTTTTCGATGTGCGCACTCTCGTGCATGATCGAACGGCTACAACCGTCGTTTATACCACAGGTCACAGTTGGAGAGATGTGGAGTGCCCTGGTTAACCACGTCAGGAGACTGTCATTGACACTATCCTTTTATGAAGTTCAAGTATGAAGATGTACATCATACCACGTTTCGCGTTATAGGCTTTGCGATATCTCACGAAACAATTTTACGGGCCGACTCGTACAGGGGACTTCGGCCTCAAAGTTAACAAATTTTGGTACATGAGGTTCCTATTCTGACCAGCTACCCCAACAGGAACCACCCAATATCTGAGGAAAACCCTTTTTTGGGGGGGGGGTGGGGTGCCCCCCATCCAAAAAAAAAAAAGTTTCTGCAAAAGGCCTTGTTCATTAAAATTGGATATCAGATCGAAAATGAGAGTACACGTATTTTTTCCTTCTGTCGAAAAACCAATGTAAGGTCTGGCGCCAGTCGATTTAAGCCCAAAACGGCGCAAAAACGCCTTTAACGACGTGTTAAATTTTGAACAGATCTTCATTACCCGTGTACTCTTATTTTCGATCTAGTATGCAATTTTGATGAGCAGTGCGTTTTTCAGAAACTTGGGTTTATTTTTAGGCCACCCAACGAAAGGGGGGGGGGGGGGGGGGGGGGTTAAACCCGTGTGGGAAACTCCGTCTAGCGCCGCAACGGTTACAGATATCGCCAAACGGATAATATGCTAGCCCTGCGAGTCCTACTTTGGCGAGGTATCGGCAACGATAACCAACGATAATAGCAGACCGTTTCGGACGAGGGGTCACTTGGAAGAATCACTACTCACTTTTGAAAAGAATCACAATTCCAATCATTTTGAATCATTTACGATTATTACAATCTTTTTAATTTGTCCAATCATTTTACAATCTGTCAATCATTTTACAATCATCACAACAATTTGCAATCAGTTTTGATATCAATCAGTGTACGAATTTTATAGGAGTGGTGGACCTCTCGGTTTCGGACCATAATAGGGTGTTCCAGGCTATCTAAAACGGAAGTGAAAAAGAACAAACTCACTGATTTATCTGTTTCTGTCCGCCCAGTATGAGAAACTACCAGAGTAGTTTGGTCCGATCCTAACCTCTCAAATATGGAGGGGAGCTCGAAACTGATCTGACAGTTTCTCATACCTGAAAGGCCGCGGAAGCACGTGATTAGCTCGACCAATCAGAGCCATTACGGAAACAGAAAGGTCAGTGACAGTGTTCTTTTCCTTCTTCCGTTTTAGATTGCCTGGAACACCCCATTTAAAGTACTCTCTGAGTTTGTAGTCGAAGTCTAGTGAAAGAGCCTAGTCACTTCAGTTCGACTGCTGATATTCGTTGTCAACCAGTTGCGCTAATCAAATCAAGAACCCCATTGGTGGATTTTATTCGTCGATTTGACGCGATCATCGAAAACGTAATTGTGTTTTGTGATGTATCGGTAAAGCCTGTTACGTGGGACGTGGTCTAGCCATTTAACTAGTTTAATTCAAAGAACCACTTTCTTCCTTGGCAGAAAATAAGTTTTGTGTTTAATATTTCACTTTTCTACTTACGGTGATGCATTGTACCCCATGTAGGCCCCATTCTCGTTGTTTGGAGGGCACTTTTTATTCTGGAAGTCTGCCCACGTGTTACATTGGACGGAGGGAAAAGCTCCCGGAGAAAGTATAGACTCAGCGAAATAGCGATAAGATTGAGCATGGCTGCAGCGCCTGGGCTCATATTGGTCTCCTGAAAAATTTTGTAGGTTAATGGGCTGAACTTACGAATTTGCTGTGATGTGGGGTGCGGGGAACTCTTTGGTCGTCCGTCTGTCTGTACTAGCCCACGTTTCTCTCAGACGGCAA